AAAAAAATTCTGAACGATCCCTGCATCAGACCCTTCAAGGTCACATCGCCTTGATGTTACTAAACAACAACAAAAAAAGCAATTAATACGTCATACGTATAAAATAAAACTACGACTTTCAATCACTCCCAAATTAAATTATAATCCAAAAGCGGGCAGATTAAATTCGTCCGCGATTATTTCAGTTGAGTTTCATTTCATATAAATATAGCTGATGAATGTGTTCATTTATAAAATAACGACAGGCAGATTTAATGTCTAACCTTAGCGTCGTAAAAACAGTTTTCAAAAAAATTGTTTGAAGCAATATTATTTATATCACAAATATTCAATTACAGTTTGAGAATTATATAACATATACAAGTGAATCAATAAAGATTTGATATTATAATATATTAGTTGGTACCTATGTAATATTTTCCAAAAACAAGTGCAAACATACCTACCTCTGTGTAAGATAAACAAATGACTGACCTACATTGATTTTACTTTTTGGAAACAGAAACAAATTCCTGTTCAGGTGTTAGGAGCGTATTTCTGAAACGTCTCAGTTAGTGTCAGCGCCTGCTCAAGAAAAATATTCCACCATTTTGACAAAACAATTTTCGTTGATTTGAGAAGGATATGCAGTGATTTAAGAACAAATAGTGAATGTTTTATATGCGTTGGTGACCTGAAGTATTGTTGGGGTGAGTTGTATGAAATATGTTTTTCTTTTAATGAATTCACGGTTAGTGTCCATATTATTTACACTCAAGATTCAATTTTTCCGTAATGATTAATGAAAAATAGATTGAGATGTACCAATTCATGAATATCGCATGATTTGCCTTTCAGTTTAACGATTGGTGCAATAACCAATAACTTGACGCATACCTGTCTAATCAGACACGAACCGGCAGTCTGAGATATTTATATACTGTAGCGACCCATTCATGTAGAATTTTCATGCAAACATGTCGGCCAATATGATTTACTCGATTTCATTTACGTAAGCCGTTTTTTAAAGAACGCTAGATACCGTTAATAACGCTGTTGGTGTATAATGTTGCGTATTCTAGAAGATGATGATGTAGGTAAATTGAGAGGTAAGTAACATCGACTCTTCTATTCTGACTAACAGAATAACCTTCCTTCTTCATATCCTAATCACATATCCATACATTTTATACTACTATCATTCATATTCTATGTCCTAATATAAGTAATCAAAGTCAGTTCAAGACTTTTTAACATTCGAAAGTGACGAATGTGTCAAAGTTGAACCATAATTCTATGTCTGCAAGAAAATGCCGATTAGAAAAATTTCTGGAAATCTATGTGACTTGAACTTACAAAGATGGAAGACATGTCCACAAGTTCACAGATTGATATAAGGATTGCTAAACCAATTACTAACCTACTGAAGGACTCCACTCAATGGTTAGCAAAATTTACAAATAAAACGACATTCCACCTACAATGAAATGAACAAGAGGAAGTTCAAAGAATAATGGGATTAATGTTGCAAAATTAAGGCAAATCAAATGGAAATGATTGACGAAGAAAGGGTAGGTAATCAACAGCAACCAAATAATTCTGATTCCCGAATTGAATCAGGATCGCAACTCTCCAAAAAGGGTAAATATTAGCTCTCAACTCGACGACATTGACCTGAAAGAACTCCAAAATCTGAAAAATCAGCTTATTGATAACAATCCTAAAATAACCTTCAGCCAAGACATACTTCAACTACCCTGCTGTGCCTGATAGTTGAATAATTGGGGAAAAAATTATCTCACTATCTAGCACAATCACGCTGATCTAGCAGTACCACCATCATTGGCGTAACTATGGGGTGGCAAGTCGGCAAAATGCCACGGGCCCCTAGCCGGAAGGGGCCCCCGGTCAGAGGAGAATCCCAACTCTCAACATTAACTATTTATTATACATGTTTAGTGAAAAACGTTTTGTGTTTGATTTATTTTTGTTACCTACTCAGTTGCAGGCACAAGTAAAAAAATGTGTTAAGAATTTAAAGGATTAAAAAAAGTTGTAATCGAGTTTTAGAATGTATCCGATAGATAATATAATGCTCACCACGCGTGTTGGTATTAGGTACTGTGAATGTTCGGGGAATTTCCGCTGTAAGTGCCGTGGACAAATAAAGTGCGATGGAGCTAGTACCATTAAAGGCACTTATGGCGGAGTTCAAAAACTCATAAGAGATATAGAGTCAAATGCGATTTATGTCCATTATGCTGCTCATAATTTAAATTTGGTGGTAATGTTGCAGTAAAACAGGTCATAGCAATACAAACATTATTCGAAACTGTGCAACAAATTTATAATTTTTTTGGCCATAGTATTAAACGTTTTATATCTGACAATAAAGGAGAGACCGGGGTATCATCAAATTCAGAAACAATAAAAACAATTAATCCAACTAGATGGGCAGGAAGATTTGATGTCACGTTTGCTTTAAAAGTTCTCTTTGATGATGTTCAAAAAGCGCTTACAAAAAATATTTTATTAAATTCAAAACAGATGAGAGAAATGAAGCTATCATGCTGAAGAAGATAGAAAACTACAATGTTATGTTGTTGCTTTTCCATTGCAAAGTCTTACAAACTATAGACGCGGCTTCTGAAGCACTTCAGCCTAAAGCACTTCAGCCTAAAGCCATATCGATCTTTGAAATGCTTCAAAGCGTTTGCAAGTCTGTCTAGAACAACTTGTAAAGTATCGACATGACATGAATTTCAAGATTTAAAAACGGAAGCAAATAGTATTGCAGTGAAATGGTCTATAAACCCTGAATTTCCTAAAACTCGTCAGAGAAAATTTAAACGTCATTTTGATGAAATTCGTTAAGATGAACTCTCCAAGATCCTGGAAGCTTGTTTAAAGTGAACAACAACAACAAAGTGTATTAGACATAATCATTAAACCACTGAAATCGCGTTTCCTTGGAATGAATGAAATTGTTTCCAATTTTAGTGTCTTGCAACCTGCCACTTTGCAAAATTTGAACGATACTAATTTATTGTAAAAGGCTTTAACATTCTTCCATCTATATAAAGAAAATGTATCCATCTCGTTTTCCAAGGAAATTCACAGTTTTCGATTCGCTTTCAGACATCGAATAGAAACATCATCTTCTATAAGAGAACTTGCTGACTTATTAATAATAAAAAATCATTTTATGTCTTCGAACTTTCCTGGAGTGTGCACTGCATTTTTATTATTTCTATATTGCAATGTATTTTTAAAAGCATATGTCGTATCAATTTCTATATTAGTAATATGTTTTATGTAATATTGTGTATTAGGATTACCTATTTCAATAAATATATTCTTCTTCTGTGACTACGGCTAGTGCCGAGCGATCATTTTCAAAACTGAAATTGATTAAAACTTATTCATGAAATTCTATGGGACAAGACAGGTTAAGCACCTTGGCTATTCTATCCATCGAAAATTCTATGGCCCGAAATTTGAACTTTGATGATGTCATTACCACTTTTGCTGAACAGAAAGTCCGAAGGAAGGAATTTTAATAAATATTACCATTTTATATTTTGAACACCTTGTGTGCTTACAAAAGTATGATGATTTGGATGATATGTGCCCATATCAATTAGATACTGACTGTACTTTAATTTATGTACTTTCAATTTGAAGTGAATTATTAGAAAATCAAGTACCTAATTATAATTGTAAAGTTTGTATGTACCTACTTACTGTAGTGATTTATTATTATACAATTACAAGTAAAAGTGTATAAATGAGTATTATAAAATAAAAAAAATATTGTTATTTTTGGTTCAGCTTCTTTATATTGGGGGGAGGGGGCCCATCCAATGAATTTGCCACGGACCTCGAACGGTATAGTTACGCCACTGACCACCATGCTAAACCAGATGTTGACAAGACGTTTCTTACAGGAACAGATATATTCGAAGCTTTGCATCTTCAGCCAGTTAGACTACAAGACTACACACTTTGAAGTAACAACACATATAATTTTATCCTGTAATTTGGATTTTTTTGATTTTCTGTAATAATAGAAGTGTTTATTGAAAAGCAAGTTAGGTGCCATCGATATGGTGATATTAAGTGTGTTCCATTCGTATTAGTCTGTTCCAGATTTGTCCGTCCTGCCTAAAGTTATTTGCTTTCTCTGCGAGATAAAAATAAGTCGGGAAGAGATGGCCAATAACTTTTGGCGTGAACGGCTCAATCTGGAATACCAACATTATTAGAACAAAACACACCTTTCAAAATCGTATATAGATTGGCCAATATGCCTTTTGTTCTTAAATTTTTTGATTCACAAACTTAATTAATGGCCCTTTCATCAATATTGAATTGCATATTTGCCTTTCACCTCTATCCTTGTTTCCTCATGGTTTATTGTGTTTGTTGAATATTTTACTAATTGTACTTACCTTAGGTATTTCATACTCAGATCATTACTTCTGGAACACCCAAATTAAGAGCAATTTCGTTTTATTCCACCAAGTACTCCAAATAGTGAACAGAACGAATGTACTAACAGTAAAGATAATTTTTCAAATTTGACACATTCCTAATAAGTCAATGAACGTCAATTTCCGCCGTTTATTTGAGATATCATCACTTATTTGTTTCTGATAAAAAATAATAGTATTGGCAATTTCATTTATCAAGGATCTTTTGATGATTCAAATTAATACATATAGGTAGGTATTGACTATTGGCACCGTTTTGCGTCGTCAGAACTACCCATCATTCAGTCTACACAATATCTGAAACAGAAGCGCATCCCAGCATTCATCACTGTATAGACATCTTATGGCAATCTAATGTGAATAATTGATGTATACACATACGATTCGCAAACACATTAAATACCACAACTCATGGCCTACCCTTGACTTTATCTATTTTACTAACAATTTTTCAGTTGAAGAGTGGGCAATACTTATAGGTACTTATACATGGTATATTTTGAATTATTATTATTATAGGTACTTGTTGCCAATTTTTGATGGAAAAATCACTTTACCTACTTCGACGTTATTATAAAATTCTCGCACACTTCATAGCTACAATCCTATGATTGATAATGAAATGCCAAAGATGATATGGGTCATTTTCAAATAAATGGCCTAAGCAAATGACTTTAAGAGTAATTTGTCATTAACCGATTCATAATCTATAAACTTGGAGTTCATCTCAATTTTCATCTCCTTGCACTTACATGAGTATATCTACTTCACTGCCTGTAACGAGGCTGGATCCTTCCACAAAGTCTGAGGATCTAAGGAAAACTCTTGTCAAGAATTTTCCAGAAGTGATTTGTGAAAGTCATACATCTAAACATCTTGAATTATATGCTTCTATGAAGGTAATCATAAAATAAGATAATTTTTCGAAGGCATGGGGACAAGAAATATGGCCTAGTGGAATCTTAGTATCCAGATTTTTTCGGAAAAGGATAATGTCACCACAAATACAAGAGAAGGTGGATCATGAAAACTGAACAAGACGTTAATACTATTGTTGAGAAAAATTTACATATTTCCTGTATAAATATTCAATGTGTTGCTAATGGATATGTTGCAATATATTGTAAAGATAATTTAAATGTGACCGCTTTGAATTTCAATTATTTTAATGATGAACTGTACTCAGAATTTTGTGGAGTATATTAGAACCACTTAAATATTTACAAATTCACTCTTTACAGGTTATGCACAAATGACTCGAATATATTTATGAATAATCTGAAAGGTTTATTGGCCAGTTTGTTAAAACAAAACAAAAGAAGTGGCTTGATTGTAAATTCAATCTCACTTCTTAAAATTTTAGACTATACTAGAATCACTAGATTGCGATCACTATATTTGTTCTGGAATGTGTCTCTCCGACTATTAAGGCCAATTTGCATCTCTGATCATAGAACCACCGATTGATAGAGAAAAATATGAGATACAAAAGGACCAAGTACATTTAAAATGTATCCGGTCCTTTTGGGAATAATTTTGTATTTATTACTCAATAAATACTTATTATTATTATCATTATAATGAATTGGGATAATTATAATCCTCTCTAATATTTTTTCATTAGCCAGCTGCTGCCCCCATACTAACAATAACCCTCAAGCTACAAAATAAAGAACATTTCGACTGATAATATGCCATTTCTAGGGTGGATTAGACAATGAACTTTCTTTGTTCCAAAACAGGATTGATCACAACCCTGCATTCACAACAGCAGTTGATTCATTGTCAAGTGAACTATTGAGAATGGCTTAATAAACTGAAATCAGTCATAACAAATGACATTTTAGTGGAAATTAGACAAAAGTCATTTTCTCTATCCTATATTTAATATGAATTTCCACAAAAAATAGCAATAAATAACAACCTACACTAACCAACTGGTTACTGTCTCATATGCTAATTAATGGAAAATGAAATCGGAAAGAAAACATGTAGATTTGAATTTGGTTCATTCATTGTTCAGACTTCCATTGTCTGTCAAAACCTTTTTGGAGAATGCAAGTCCGAACCTCGAATATTCAAGAGTATTACAGTTCCAGTACTTTGGGATGTTTCTCAATGTTTTATAAATCAATAGAGATACGGAAAACCAAGAATAGTTTTTCCGATTGTGTTAAAATTTTAGAAAAAGCTTCCTATAATGCAGAATAACTTCGAAAATGGACATTAATTTATTCACAGTCAATGATATTACAAAAATTAAAGGTATATATATATGTACATAACTACATTTTTTTGTCATGGTACAAACGGCTCTCTCTAGTGCCTTCCCTCAACAATATTATAACGACTCTGTACCCGTGATGGAGTATTTGCCACTGCAAATGCAGTCTTTTTCACATCATTAAATAAACTCCTGATGCTGGCGTGAGAATCCAGCTTCTCAATCAGAGGCATGGTATCCAAAGAATTAGCTGGTTTCTTGTCCTGGAAAAAACATTTGAATCAAATCTGAATTTTAACTAGTTTTCATTGTTCAAACACATTTTTTCACTAATACAAATGATGATAAAATCTATCTGAATAGAAAACAAATTGGCGAGTTTCGAGGTATTACATCACATCAGTGCACAAATGATCTGACCCAAACAGCAAAGTGCCTGGGACTCGATTAATTTCAACACTGCTCAACTGCTGTTAGAGTTTTGGTATATGGGATGGTTCTTTCCCGTTTGGGGCTTTGTTCACGAGATGGAGCTGTTACTAGTGAACAATCTTTCTTAGATGAAGGTTTCATACATGCAGCTGAACACCGCTGAAATTGATCGAGTCCCAGGCACTTTGCTGTTTGGGTGAAATCTGCACTGATGAGAGGTGATAATTCGAAACCAGTCTGTAGGTGATATACTTGAATAATTTCAGCACTGTCCTGCTGCTGGATGAACGAGAAACATCAGCAGGACTAATCTCTGTGAAGTATCTTGCATAAATGTCTGTCGGATATAATTCAATATCCAGCGTGGTTTTATCCGGGGAAGTAGTTATTTTCCCGTAGGCATCCGGTAGTTGGGAGAGACGAATATTTCGAGATTTTATTTCGAAATATTTATTTTCTAGTACATATGTATCTCTCCTTGATACAGTCTTCAGACATAGTCAATGATACCGGAATGGAAACACATATTGTACGACAAATGAAAAATAGCTCAAGTGGAAATAATATCAGAAAACAGTAAGAGAAACATTATTGTCAAAAAATTCATTATTGTTGGGACAAGAAAGTTGTGGAAGAAGGGAAAAAATCTGTAGCCTTAGATTTTCTGGAAAAAAATTAAGTTTTGCCTTCTTTTATCTGTAACTTGTTAGTTGAAAACTGTTAATTTTTATGCATAAATAAGTCCAGTGGAAAGTGGATATTCCAACCTGTAATTTCTGTCACTTCCTAATCACTAATTGTAAGTTACTGATTTTGGGTACATAATTCTAAACCTATCTAAAATTATAGGAATAGGCATAGTGGAGTATTGAATTATACGGAAAGGACATTTTTCACATATTTAGGGAGGATTTTTGAATTAAAAAATAACCAATAGCCAAAAAGAATAGTATTGTTGAGTCAAATTTCATTTTGTGCATGTGAAAAAATGGTTTGATAATGTTCGTCATCCAGAAGACAATGGCAAAACTTTTACATCGTTAGCATTTACCGTTATTATGATACGTGATTTTAAAACTGCGAGTAAGTCGAAAGCTAGTGTGGCGTCACGAGATATGTGCGATGGTTGGAACGGGGTCAGAATCTTGGCTGATCAGTGTTGTCAAAGTGAAATAATATATTCAATGTTTATATGAAAATAGCTGTTTCAGGAGGACTTTCTTTCAGTTTGTGTCTGAAAGTTACTTATTTGCATGATCTACACATCCATGTATAGAGTTTCAAATTGATTACTTCCTTCCTTTCTTTGGAAGATTCCCTCATCCCATTTTTTTTTTGTATCAAGATGGATAGTAGAAAGCCAAACACTTTCTTTCCCAAGAAATAATATATTCTAACTACTAGCTTATTCTCAAAAACTACCAAGTATCTGAAACGTGTTGATATCACAAGCCATTAATATTTCCATTGAGGTTTTCCCACATCTAATAACTTTCAAAAATCTTAAAGTTTTAGTTCTTTCAGTGTTTAATCAGAAGTCAATCAGAAGTGAAAAATACGATTTATTGTTTAAGAAAAATGAGCTGGTATTGACCTGCGAGTTAATTTATCACTCCCACTTCCGGTTTTTGTTGGTATTTTTAAATTTGATTCATTTTCCAAACACAATTCAAAACTTCGCGATATGCTATAGGCCTCCTCAGTGATGATAGGCTAAACCACGATTTCATAGTTGGGTTCAGTTGTCTTGCAGTGTAAATTAAGACAAAGAGCAATTTCTCAATCGACCGTCTATGTTGAAGCTTGGCTTTGAAACATACTACCGTTGAAACCATTGTTTATATGCGTCCATGCTTACTTATACTCAATCCTACAGCCAATCAGCCTAGCACCACTGATTATGACAGGTTGAAACAGTGACCTCTGGTGCTTGATCATTTTTTGACTCTCAAGCATTAAGAAATCCTAACCTATGCCTCAAGAAGCAGGATCAGTAAAAGATCTTGGGTATGATAATCATGAATATTTTTAATCTCTATTGATTCCATAGTGGGATATATTTTATTATTTACAAACAACTGCATAAAAATGAGAACTTTTAATTTATAAATAAATCTAAGGTCAACTTCATTTTGTAAACATCTTAACTTGAAACTAGTAGTTCAAAGTTGTATAGTTCAATTCTAATTTTGGATTAATCAGTGAAAAACAAATTGACTTCAGACGCTTTAGAGAAGTATGTCTGATTTTATAAAGTATCCTTATGATAGGTTCTGATGAATGAATAACATCAATCTGGCTATTCCCCAAAAGGGTTTGATCTCTATGTAGACCTACACAGTAGTAGACTAGATAGTTCTAGTCCTAAATACTAGTGATTTGACAGCTGTTGACTCACTTGGCCTTTTATTAGTGAACATGAATGATTTTTAAAAATTCAAAGTAAACTTGTGGTTATTTAAATATTTATTTGTTTTAATTAATTGTATATCTTTGTTGAAATATATCAAATTTGTATCATAAGTTGATAGTACTAATTTTCCAAATGGTTGAAATTGAATTGAAGAACTATCTACAGTGCATTGTGGATAATTAGAAAACACACATATTATTTCGAAGCAGGTTAACGAATTAAAAAATTACAAGTAAAAAAGTTGTTGATTTGTAGTTGTGTGGTAGTGAATAAGAAATTTATGAGAGACTGATGGTTGAAAAAGAACTGACAAGCTCCTGGTTGTAATCTAATCTCAGATTCTTGGAAGAAAATTTGCAAATTCTGTCAAAAACTAATAATATCGTACATGGAAAATTAACTAATGCAACTAATGGTTCTATTTTGTTTACCTTAGTTGGACGTCCTGAAAAATAATCATCTGGTACTTCTTGCAACAAAGTAGAGGTATCTAAGTCACCAGAAGGAAGGTCCCTAAAAGAGCTATGGGGTTTGCAAATATAGAATGGGTGCTGAGGATCCTCACTGTTGTAGATGGTAGCCATAGTATTATCTCCAATATCACCTATGTTTTCTTTGTTATTTCCTCCACCAGGAGTGTTCAAAGAATAATCTGAAATGAGTTGATAGATAGAATTAGGACTCTGCCATAAAATGAATCCAATGAAAATAATTTTTCTACACATTTCCTGATGATGCCAACTTAATGAGTGAAACATGCTTTATTTTTATGGGTAAAGCGATTGTTCAAGTTTATTTGTACTTTCGGAATTTTTTTATATGTAAAGGAGAAATAGTCACCCAGCATAAATTTGTTTTTTTGACAATATACTATACTTATGATTCTCCATAAGCTTTGATTGATAAATTTTGAAATACCAATTTAATAAACTCTAAAATGGACAAATTTTCCCAATTCAAACTTTGATTTTTTTTACGGTGCCCCTCCTTATCTTGGACATTGTATAATAGTCCTGATCATAAATTTTTCTGGAGTTCAACTTCTAGGACTTGTTAATGTAAATTGTAAATAGTATAAACATATATAGTGTCCCAATTTGGTCTTCTTTATTACTGGAGAGTGAAAGCTGATTCAACAGGAAATATTTTGGGCAATTTTGCTTTCGTCTAACTGAATTTTGCTGAAATGATATATCTTATTTTTAGTTTCATAACCTAACCTTACTTCCTATTCTAACCTAATTTAATAAATGATAAAACTGGAACTTCTGGCTTGGAATGAATTCAAAAACAAGTACTTTTCCTAATCTCTAAAAATGCGATCCCCTTTTTAGCGCATTACACTTCCGGTGATTGTTTTTGAATTGAACCTAACGTGTTTTTTGATGCCGCATTTGGTAATATGCCAAAATCTACAGGACATAATGACACTGAGCCAGATGGTAAAACAAAAACAAAGTCCTGTCAGCTGTTTTCATGAATTGGTGTGGTTTCTTGTGTTTTTAGTGAGTGAAAGTAATTCGTTATACTTATTCATCAGTTTTTCATGTAAATTGATGGATGTAGCCGTTACTACATAATAGATCATCATGAAAATTGAGAAATAAAACTTCCTATGTTTTTATACTGCTTGTATTTGTAACTAACGTTACTGCAGTTTCGTCCTATACGAATATTTTCAAACGAATACAATAAACTGAAATGATTGATTATCTGCATTTTGTTTACCTGTAACAACGTGGGTACGTTAATTTGAAAATTGGCTAGTAGACAAGATCAATTTGATCATCTAGTAGCTTACATTCGCAATACTTATGCTTATGAATTCCCAAGGATTCCGAATAATTGAGTTTCCAACCCTTGCTTGCTAAGGCTAACTACAAAAATAAACTGCATTCCTGTTTCCAGAATAATTATAATTTCAAAAGAGTCAACTATCCACAACTGTATAATCAAATATTTCATATTGACTGTACCTTCTTGGAAGTTCTTATGACTCAGAAGATGCATCCACATATTTCTATGGAAAACTTTATAATGTTTTTGATCGCTGCTGTCCCAAGTATACAGTTGAATCCAAAAATAAATATCCTCCTTGGTATAATAGAAGCATTATTAGAGATTTGCGGGCTAAAAGCAGAATCTGGCGCAAATAGAAGCGTGAGTGTAATCTGCAGGCCTTTAAAGATTTCAAACATCTTCCAGCAAAAATAAAGCATGATGTTGATGTGACATATAAAAAATTCTTAGGTGAAAGTGAGGAAGAAATACATATCAATCCCAACAGATTTTGGTCATTTATAAATAATAAACGGGGTAGCTTCAAAATATCACAAGTACTGAATTTTGAAGGTCAATTGCTGGAGGGGTCCTCTAATATCGTAAACGGTTTTGCCAATCTTTTCAAACAATCATATACCGTTTCTTCCCCTTTTCAACCAAACTCTGAAATTGACAATAATCACTTTCTTGATATATCAAGCTTCAGTGAAAACGAAGTATACGAGGCACTAAGGTCGCTCAAGCCTAAAAAGACCACTGGTCCAGATGACATTCCAGCTTTCATCCTAAAAGATTGTGCACTTGTGCTTGCTCGTCCTCTATCTATACTAATTAATATCTGCTTAAGATCGGCTACAATACCAAGGATCTGGAAATCATCAAAAGTCTGTCCCATTTTCAAGATTATCGGCCTATCTCTATTATTTGCAACTTTGCAAAGGTTTTTGAGATTCTGCTGGAGCGAGTTATATATCGGCGTGTTAGTTGCAATATAAGTATAAACCAACACGGTTTTATGAAAAATCGTTCAACGGTCACCAATCTTCTGACTGTTGGGTATTGCTGAATCTATTGACAATAGGGCCCAAACTGATGTTATTTACACATACTTTTCTAAGGCCTTCGACAGGCTTGACCTGACATTCTACTGAACAAACTAGTAGCTTTTGGATTATCTCCATCCTTAATCGCACTCTTTCAGTCCTATCTACGGGATCGAAAACGAAACTCAATGGTTTCAAATCTACCGAATATAGTGCTTCTTCCGGTGTTCCACAAGGTTCAAATCTGGGACCGTTGCTCTTCAATATATTCATTAATGATATTGCAGATGTATTTCTTTTTATATGCCGATGATCTAAAACTATACTGCCTTGTTGAGAACATAGATGATTGTGTGAACCTCTCAGCAATGTAGGACGGGTTGTAGAATGGTGTTATCGAAATAACTTGTCGCTGAACCCGGATAAATGTAAGGTCATGTCCTACAGTTTGAAAACAAATATCTTGATCTTTGATTATTCAATAGAAAACGTTTCCCTGGTGAGACCAGAAACATTTACTGATCTTGGCGTCACATTTGACACTGCACTATCATTTAATAGGCATATCGATAATGTTGTAACCTCCTCCTGTCGTTTGTACGGATTAATTGCACGTAACAGTAGTGATTTCAAAGAAACTTCAACCTTAAAAACTTTATTCTATGCTTTCATAAGATCAAAGTTAGAATACGCGTCAGTTGTGTGGAGCCCCTTTTATCAATATCAAATTGATAGAATAGAAGCAATTCGACGACGATTTTTAAAACTGCTAAGCCTAAAAACCGATGGCATTTATCCTCCAATAGGAACAACCCATTCTGAATTACTACAAAAGCATAACTTTTGCAGTCTCGAAAAAAGGCGTGAATATTATAGTGTTGTACTAACCTATAAAATTATCAAAAGCATAGCTGACTGCCCAACATTACTGGAAAAGTTTAATATTTGCATTCCTAGAATCTGTTCCAGACACCCGAGTACTTTCTATATAAAAACATCTTGCACAAATGTTCTGGAGAATTCTCCGATCCATACCATATGTAAAGTGACAAATTCTGTTAGCGATAATTTAGATATATTTAGTTGCAAATTGTCAAATATAAAATCCCACTTCCTTAAATATTTGTTTTGTCACCTACAATAAATATTAAAATGTGTAGTCTTTATAGTCACTTGATTGTATTGTTTGTAGTGTTTGTAGACTTTACAGTCACTTGTTTGTGATGTATTTATTATACTCTGTTATTTCCTGCTCTGTAATTGGGCTATGTCCTGTAGAGTATTGTATTACAAATAAATAAATAAAATAGTGCAAAATGTCCGTATCGTTTAGATTCGGGAATTTGTGGTTGTATTCCAAGGAATGATTTGAAAATGTCAAATCATTTTTACCGTCTGAAAGACTAGGTGAAAATGAATAGTTCACTTGTTTTCTTAGAAACCCATAAAGTATTATTATTGATGTAAAATTGATATAATATGCTCTAGGTAATCATAATTGAGGATGTACCATAGGTGTAAAAAAGTTGAGTAGATGCTTTGTAATTATGATCGAGTAAGTACCTGGGTAGGTAGTCTCAATTGTGTTCTTGTAGGGTATATAAATATTAGAGTAAAGAATGAACTTTTAGTGTGTAACATGTCGTGCGAAACATGTGAACTATTTTTTCAAAATAAAATTTGTGGAGATCAAATCGTAAGGTGTAGTTTATGACATTATCCAGATAATGAAACATTGAAAAACCCACAAGAACAGAAAGAAATATTGACTTTGCAAAAAATATTTTTCAGTCAATGTTTAACTTTCTAAGTTTCCAACATTCAAAAATCCCATAGGACAAACAACTTTTCATATTTGTTTCACTTTATGTGTAGTTTCTTATATCGGATATCTTGATTGTTCTGAACTATCTACTCAATTTTTCTTATGGACGCAATCCTGAACTCTAAGTACAATGAAAATATTTAATTTTTAATTACTGGAATATGCTTGCATATGCTCTATTCCTGCAAAAAGTAAAAAATCAAAACGATTCAATTTTCCATAAGAGTCTTCCCGAAAACAAAACGAGATATGATATCTAAATTACACCAAGACAAATGTTGATAATCTGGTGGGCTTGAAAAACTTTTTTGTCATGCATTTTTGCCAGATGATAAAAAAATATAATGTCTAAATTCTGAAAACTGAAAATCTAGAAAACTAAGAAAGTTATTGTTAGTTTCAGAAAAAGCAATTTTTCAGTTTTATTGAAATACCTCCAAATATCGTACCAACTTTCTATCTTTCATAATGAGCGGGATAACGAGTGGGATCATCAGTTTGAGGCTATTGAGAAAATGAAAATATATGGGAATAGGAACAAATGTATAAGACCTCGATCACACCTGTGGACTGAGTCATTTCAAAATTTGAATTTATTAATTATCAAATGACTGATTTAAATTCCAAATTATGAAACATCCAAATATATCCTATGATTTGAGAACATTAAAGTTATTATAGTCTTTAAAAACAAATTCACTATGTTTAAGAATAGTTCAAAATATGTAATACATTACAATATCATTTTTTTTTCATATTGTGGAAAATGAAAATCCCCAAAAAGACTGATAATTCATCGTTTCTTTCTCTATCTTTGATTTTATAAAAAAAAATCTGTTTTTCCGTTTCCACCTTTCGCACCCTACGCTAGGAACGACAACTCTCACAAGTCGAAACTTGTGCGAGCTAAGGACTAACGAGGTCTTACCTTACCTAGCACATGTTGAACGATAGGAAATTGAAATCGATAGTTCGGCCTTGCGATTCGTACCACCGGCACTGGTTCACACAGCGGTCAATTGAGTGAGTGGAGTAAACCACCCACATCAACTCAACCGGTTACCATCCCACCACATAACATAATTATCTGAAAGGTCTACTTACAGTGAATTGAGATTGAAAAAAAGTCTAGCAGGAAATGCTAATAACATAGTGATGAATGAATACTCAACACACCTTCCTTATCACTTTCTTTTTTGTTTGGCAAAGTTTGAAATGGGCCGTTATGTAGCTCCGTCAACTGTTCATTAACAACTTCTTGAAGTTGAGTCATCTCTGTTCTGATTTCATTGATCTGTTTATCTCTCAATGCTAAAACTGTGACATATTTCTCCTTTTCAAGAGCGGACAGTGCTACTTGATGTCTGAGTTTGTTACATTCTAGTTCAATTGCATTTTTTTCTTTTTTGAGATCATCTATTTGTGCTTTGAGTTTGTCCAGTGCATCCACAGATTGGATTTCACGTTTCGTCCTCAACATATTCAATTCACACTCCATACTATTTACATTAGATTCCAGTTTGCGATGCTCACTTTCTAATTTTTGCTGCTCAAACTCCAGCTTGCGTTTTTCCTCTTCTAAAACTCTGAGTCGTGGATTCAATATTTCATTCTGAAAAACAGGAGGAGAGAAAAGAGATATCGCTTGTGACTAATAAAATTCGTGAAATTTGGTCTATTATAAACAATTTGACTACAAAATTCCCTACTCAATCAATAATAAACGCAAACATATTTAATTATATCTTTTGTACTATAACTTAAAAATTGACTTCAAATATAAAGGCGCTAATAAATTCAAAAGAATATCTACAAGGTATGGCTTTCACGTAAGCAATACAGATATCAGTGATCATTAATATACCTTTAAGGAAATCAAAGATAAGAATTCTTCTGATGTATCTGTAAGAATATTAGAGAATTTATCAGACGAAGCATTATATATTCTAGCAGAAGAAATAGGCATATCCTTTGCTAGTGGTGTCTTTCTCTGGTGTTTGAAAACGGCAGTTATAGTGCCATTCCATAAAGGTAAAATGTTGGAAATTCATTCAAATTTCCGACCCATTGCTTCATTCTCAACTACTTCAGGAGTGATTGAAAAAATGGTTGAAACGATATTATTGATATTCTCAAACCAACATAACACTCTCTATATTATGATTTGAATTTCAAATTTCTAAAAGCAAGTGGTGCAATTTTCAACTTTTTTAATGATAAATGATTGAATTATGTTGGCCTAAATGATGAAGAAGCTATTGTAAGTTGAAGAATCGTTCCTCTGATCTTTCAAAAATTAATTGAGGAGTTCCCCAAGGATCTGTCTTAGTGACCTGAGTGAGATTGACATACGTGATACCACCATACTATGGCAAGAAAACGATGAAAACTTGTTAAATGAGCGCATCTTTCTGGACACAGAAAGATACAACTTGGTATGATTCAAATTATTATTGTTTCAATGAAAATTTTCATTTTTTTCAAGTGAAAAACTTTATTCAGAAACTTACATAAAGACATAACAATTACTATAATGAAAATTATGAAACAAAGCCATTTCCTAACCAGCAATGATGCTGGTACCTGAGTTTCATTAGTGCTCTTACTTCTGATATAATATCTAATATTATATGAAATCAAATTGAATCTCCAATCAATTGCGTAGATGTCTGATTATTTGCACTATAATTGAAAATACCATCCAAAAAGGAATTGATGATTATCATTTGGTATTACTACTCAGTGTGTATATTTTACTTCAACACTTTTAAAATGAAATCAATGAAGACTTACATTTTCAAGCTCCAAATCAGCAATTCTCTTCTTGTAAAAAACAACATTGTTTCTTTCTGCGAGCAATTGCTTTTCCAAATTTTCTTTTTCATTCTTTAGTTCAGTGCACAGCCTTTCCATCTGCCTACAGCTGGCCTCCAATTTAATCGTACTCTGTTCCATGATCCTCTGCAATTTGTCTTTTTCCTCTGTCGACACACACGCCGGAGTTTGAGTAACTTTTTCACATGTAGAAGTTTTTAGTTTTTCCTTAATAAAAATATAAAATGTGAGAAATACCTAATACATTACTGACATTTTTTTTCAAGAATCACATTGCTTAGATGAACCATCTTAGAGAAATTTTATTATCAAATTAACTGCATGCATGGGGGTCTTTTAAACAACATTAAACACTTCAGCTTATTGAAGCATCTGACATTTGCATTCCTCAAGTAGAGTGGGCTGAGGTTGGATACTAAGGGGTTCATCATGTCTTCAAAACCTTAGTCTATTATAGACATGAAATGAATATAGAGGTTCCTGAAACTTGGCATAGGCCCTGCAGCGAGATGTTTAAGAGCCTTATGCATTTGCTGTCGGCATGTCCAGCATAGGCAGTCTCAATCTATATCCATAAACAGTCCTAAGAGTGCTCTATTACCGTATTTGGCACACCAATGTTTCCACACGCTTCGGAGGATATATTGAATTCATTGTGGTGAATGAGAAGTGTCAAATTTATTTGAAGTATTCATTCACCAGGCGAGACGGTAGCCGGTTGGGTTAGCGTGAATAGTTCGTTTCAGTTATTCAATAGACTGCTGTATAAACCGGTGGTTCGTGCCCAGAGACTGGACAATTGATTTTCACTGCCTATCATCCAACCAGTGCTAGGAATTACACTTAAACAGGCAAGACTTCGTTAATATATTTCAACACTTTTTTAAACAGGTCAAGCTGATACAAGCAAATAAACCTGATGTAGACCTTGTTGACTACAGAAGTAAGACAATATTCGTTGTTGTCTTCAGCTTTGGTTGAGAAGAATATCATTGTAAAAGAGAAAGAAAAACAAATAAAATATGAAGACTTTCTCTTTGAATTTGCAGACTTTCTCCAGAACTCAAATTTTTTCAAGCTCAATTCAATTGTATGAAAATGCCCTATAAAACCAAAATCAATATTTTCCATTATTTTTTTAAATTTATTTACAAACTCTATAGACCATGGCCACTTACAGATTAGGAAAGGTAAATATCACAAATAGATTTATACATACTACATACAACAAAATGACAAAAAAGTTAAAAAAATATTTAATGAGAGTTATACAATTTGATACAACCTATTTATAAAACTAGCAAGATTTTGAAAGAATATATCACAGTCATTTCATACATTATTATAGCCATTTCACATAGCATTTAATGGAGCATTTTGATAATAATTTGTTCTTGCCGATTACATATAAATTATTAAATATGACCATTCAAAGATGTTATTTATATCGTTTTGTTGATGTACACAATCTTCAACTGTTGATATTCTGAAAATTTTTGAGTTATCTGCAAACAATAAGTAGCAAAATGATGTGATATTTTTTACAAGATTGTTGATACATATAATAAATAAGAAAGGAACCCTGGGGAACTCCAGACGATGCAATAAATGGACTGGACTTATGTCCTTTCACTATTACACTGTGTTTTGGATTGAATAGACATGAACTTAAAATTTTATTAGGTTGGGATGAAAACCAAAATCATATTGGCCATGTTGGAACTGTGATATTTTAAGAGAAACTAATCTATAGATATGCTTAACAATGAGAGTCTCGAAAAGTTTGACTGGTGCTAACAACACTACCACCGGCATGTGATTAATAATATTGGTTTTTTCACCTTTTTTGAAGACTGAAATAAGCTTTACTTCTTTCCATATGTCAGGAAATATTTTACTTCTCAAGGACAGGTTAAAGATAGTTTTCAAAGGTTATAACAAGAAGTCGACAAGATCTTTGAATATAAATGGTAGTATATTATCAGGCAAAATTTACTTTTTCATCTTTAAACTCCTAGCTGCATCGATTAAATCATCATGATCTATGTAGTGCAAAGATATCAATTCAAGACTGGTATTATCAGTAAATGCTAAACCATCAATACAGTCATTTGTATACACTGAACGGAAGTGTTTTGCAAAGACACTAGAAATATCAATGTCATATGAATATTCAATATCGTTCAAGTGTTGCTGAACCTTAATTAAATATAATGTGTGAGCTGAATTAATGTCGTTTTTCAATTTCCCTCTCAAATCACGAATTTAGTGTGTTAATTTATGTCTACTGTTTTGTCTACATTTTAACCTTAGTTTGTTTTTTTACTTTGATATATTTTATTGTTTGTCTGTTGAACCATGGGGGTACTTTTTATTTTTCTTGCATTTGGAAATACAAATACCAAAAATTTCATTAATTTTACTTTTGAAGAAACTCACTGTAAAATTAGGATCCGTAAATAATTCTAGACCACACCAGTCAACATTAGCAAATCGATGATACAAGAGCTCAGTATTTGCTCTTCTGAAATCGAAATATTCAAAATTATTAGCAGACAACTCTTTGTTTTTTAAATACTCAAGTGACACCTCAATACAGAGCAATGGATGATGCCTGTCCTCCATCACAAAATAAAGCTCATTATTTGTTACTTTACAACTTTCGCTCGAGATTACTAAGTTTAGTGACTGTCCATGATCGTTTCATATTCTATTGTGCTGTTTACTATCCAGAAAGTTTAAGAAATTCAGGAATATTTCTACATACGTGTCCCTCACCAAGTTTGAGTAGTACTCATGCAACTGAGGTATGTTAAAATCACCTATTATTAGATAACATAATGGTTTTCTTAGTATTCTGTACATGTTTCTAGAAATATAAAAATAGCAAAAGTTTAACACTATTTTCTTATTTTATAAATCAAAAACCCTGAAAATGGCAAAGGTCTAACACTACTTTGTTCTTGTAGAAATCAATAAAACTTACTGGTTTGTCACTCAGAGACTTCGAAGAAGTTCTCCTAGGAACCATATCTACAGCTTGTTGTAAATGAACTGTTGATGCCACTTCAGGGGGTACTCTCTTCAAAGCATATTGCATATCAGCCACCACTTGTTGCAAATTACTGTCATCTAGAAAATATATTTTTTACACAACTCTTTAGATTCACCTCATATTTAAAGTTTTTATCAACCTGGTAAAATAGCCTGAAGTTGAAACTGCAATTCCTTAGCTAGAAAATGTAAAGTTCGTAGAGGATCAAAATTGCCAAAGACAGAAACTTTCTCTCCACTTTTTTGTTGTTTTAGGAGTTGGGCCCACGGTTCCCTGTCCACTGTTGTTGATCTAGACCTTTGTCTGGGGTTGGTTGTTTTGACAGTAACTTCCACAAAAGCAGAATCATCTGTGTATTGCGGACCAGATCTGGTAGGACTCTGAGAAAGTTTGGGAGAAGGAAAATTTTGTTGTTTTACATTAGATTTGATTTTCGACAGTTGGTTTTGATTCACTGAGGATTGTTTCCTTGAGCGGTCTCTATCCTTGGAGTTTGCACTATTGGGAGTTGAAGATTTTTCTCGGTTGAGAAGTCTTGCCATGTACCGTTCACAAGCTATCGTTTCAAGATTTATGCTATTCGAACAACTTTTCAGCCTTTGTGTCATGTTTTACGGATCTCAACACTTTTAAATTTGAAAACAAACATTTAAAAATTCGAAATCTTTTTCAAAGTGACAAGAGAGGTTAGAATGAAAACACTTGTTTTCATAAGTTCCAGTGCCCGCCAGTACGGTCTGCAAACAGAAAATGCATTCATTTCATTGGTTGTTTCGGTTGCGTTAGGTGTCAGGTCAGATAGATACACTATACACTGTTTAACCGTTAACACAGGCTACACAGGGCGATGAAATTTTTTTTCCGATATTTAATTAGGAAATACGATCGTGTATTTAATTAGGAAATACGATCGTAAAAGAAAGTAAATGAGTATGGAAATATTCTATTTTTCGTACATCTTTCACCAAACACATTACCAGTTAACAATTTTATGATTCATGTCGGGTAATCAGATTTTGAAATTTTTTATAACCTTCATGTGCAGTTATTAACTTCCCAACTAACATTTTGGATTATTTTCTTAAGGACCAGTATCGCAAAGGGGCCCTAGCTTAGCGTAAATCCAAACCTGACAGGGAAATAAAGAAATAATATGTTGGATATTTTTTAATATTCTAGATTCTCGAAGTGAACTAATGATAGGTATAATTGGTAAAATATATCAGAGATGTATTCATTAAGATCAAGACAGTAGTCCTATATTCTACGATTTCTACAAATTTTAGGAACAATAAACCTTCCTTTACCTTTTATGGAAACTTCAGATAATTTCTAAAGAGATATTGCGAAAAACGATTTATTCGATTCTCAATAAAGATTGGTGAAATATTTCAACTCGGATCAGCAATGCGGTCCGAGTGCACTCACTCAACATAACTTGAAGAACGGCTAGAAAATAAGTGAAACTGTTTGCAATTGTTGAGACCGGTAAATGACAACAAGATTTTAGAGGCCCTTGAAAGATTAAATAATCAGAAAATGTGAAATGAGATCTATGAATAGCGAAAAACGTCACATTCTGAACAGCGTTATATGAAAATGTTTGATAGTTTCTAGAGGGACATATATGAAAAACACTTTATCCAATTCGCTCTAATGCCCAAATGTTGCTGTATTGAACCGGTTTCATATACCAAAGAAATCCAGTGCCAATCAATATACCTTTTAGAGAACGTTTACAGAATAAGTGACAATAGGGTTTCAGACGCCTCTAAAAGTTGAGAAATCAAAAATGTGGAATGAGATCTATGAATAGCGATAAACGTTCCAGCCAAACAGCCCGTTGTACATCTCGATACGAACCAAAATACACCAATCCATTGGTGTGTACAGTCTCTAAATTTTCTCTTCCTAATTAACGTATCCACTATGTTTGAAGATTACCCGTTACTTTCAGCTATCTCTCTAATAATTTTTTTCTTTATTTGCTGAAGGGGAATGTGACCGCCTCCTTTAATATCCTGGGTGGTCGAGCCAATTTGGGACTGGGACTTGATAAATTACCAGTTTTTTGGCTTTCTTGCAAAGTTGTTCTGGGAAATTGAATTTTGACCCTGTTTTTAAAGCTCGACTTTCCTCTAAAATATTAATGACAGCTTGTAAATTGTCACCAATACACGAATACTTCTGCGTTTTTACGTATTTACTCGGCACCTAAAAAAAGACATTTTTAACTCAATCCTATAGCGGAGATAAGGTGATAATGGCGGCCAGGTGGCCATTTCTTCCAGCGACATGTTCAGAGTTACACCAATTGTCCCTGCTATTGCAGTGACGTGTCGTTTGGAATAGTTGAAAGTTATAGTAAAATTGGGAAGCCTCGTGACTTATCTATTGGGTCGAAAAACATGTTTGCAAGGATATTCGTGACACTATATAACTTGGAAACCTACCTTCAAGTATGCAAGTTCCTGATAAGAGCACGCGCATTTTTCAAAAAAAATTAATTGTTTTATACATCCAAAAATCAACAGGAATCTGAAGACACTTCAATGAATATAATAACTTTTTGATAACTGATAAGAATATCTGACGACCTGTGGTATTTATTTGAAGAGCGACTACTGCTGTTTGGAGTATTTTAGTTTTTCCGACAATGAATACTTCTTATACGGCGCCGGCGTTTAATTATTGCTCAAAGCCTTTTTTATGACGTTATGAATTCCGCAGAATTATCTTAGTCGTTGCGGTGGTCTCTGGTGAATCTAGTGACTTTTTAGTGAATTTAGTGATGAAATTAACAAGTCGAGCCCGCTATTTACTTGTGGAAAATGGTCATTTCGATCTTAGAACTGTCAAATCTACTCTATTTCAGCTTGTCAAATGTAGGAAGAGCTTTCTGAATTCCATTATGGTCCCTCCCACTAGATGAGCTCTCGTTAGAAGACTATGAGAGCGACAGAGAGAGAGAAAGAGAGATACAGAGAAAAATAATTCTCAAGTGTCTTCTTAGATTTGATAAGCTGTACATGTAAGTCTCCAGAGGGAGTACAAATCTATTACTATTTGCGGTACATACAAACTTTTAATACTAGTCCGTTATTGCATTCATAATATGAATATGTTCATGTTAAAGAAAATAAAAAAATTCACATTTTACCTTTATGATAATTGGTTTGTAATCATTGCTGAACAAATGTTGCATTGATTTGTTTATTACCTAAGTTTTTTAGATGTCAAACATATGATTTTTAGAATAATGGATCCTCATCTTTCAAATCCTTCAAGACATTACTACCCGAATCTTTACCGAGAATTACGTTTACATTCAGAAACGGGCGACTCGATTTACTTCAGACAAAAAGTTGAACGTAATACTGCATCTCTACCTCTTTTTTTTTCGCTAATAATTTTTTTATTGATTCTCATCTATCACTCAAGAGCGGATTTAGTTCTAAATTTTGGGGTGCGAGGTATTTGCTGAATTCTGGGGAGGGTTAATTTTCAGAAGGAATAATTATGCAAGTATGGAAGATTAAACTGAATTAGACATAGTATTGTCCTTATTTATATCCTTGATACCCTTGCTAGAAACCTGCGTCTTAATGTTTTCTAACATGTAAAATTAATTTAAGACAATTAAGACCCTAAGGTACCCTAAGACCCTAAGACCCTAAGACCAATTAGGTACCTAGCCAGAGGTATCTAGGGTATGAATAGAGACAATACTGTATCGATTTAGTTTATTCTTTCTCTTGAAGATGATCACTTGGTGATTGAAACACGTGTCGAGGTGTTAAAAATAACGGTTTGGTGTTGGGATTAAATTCCAGTAATAACGATTAAACGTCACAAAAGCGAAGAGTTATTCATTACCCAGAGCAAAGCTGATCTAAGAGATATAAACAAAATATCCTTGGCTGATTTTCGAAAGTGATAACGCAAGACTTCAAAATTTCATCGATTCATTTCCATTTTTTAACGAAACACTTAATTATCGAGCAATATCATGGGAGTAAATAGCATGTGAAAATCAGGTTTGCTTCTGAAATATCTCCTAACAAATCATCCGGAAAATCAAGTAGGCTCCTAAGTCGTTACTAATGAGAACAAATCCAGAAGAAATATCAAGCTCAAATATTTTTGTAAAAACGTGTTGATAACTGTCACATTTTTGTGGAAACTATATATTTTGGTTAGATATCTGTTTATCAATAAAATTCAAATCATGTCGAATATCTGACTCTAAATGTGTTCTTTGGTGCCAATTATACAAGAAATTATTTCACTTGGTATAACTGAAAATGTTGAAATTTTATGCCTTGACCTGGTAGTTTCGAACGAGTTTCATAAAGACATATATAAACACAGCTTCGATTTTCAATTCGAAAATATATTTTTTTCAATTCCATTATTATTTTTGGTACAAACTAACTGAATGGGCGGACATTAAAATTAGATTGAAAAAGTGGAAAGGTGAGTGTTGGGCTCTTATTTTGTATATATACTTTGATTATTACACTTGTTCAAACCATATTGTGATAATTTCTACTTATCAACTTTTATTCATTGTGTCCTTGTTATCAATATATATTTTACTAACGATCCGCCCTGGGTTCACACGGGTGCAATGCTGATACTGAATATACATATGAGTGCGATCGCTGCTAATCATAAAAGTGCTACTAAAGGGCAAAGCGCCGTCTTCGACGCGCTAATTATTGGCACGAGCCGCCGGCCCCCTTGCCGGTACCGCGGCAACCGCTGTGTACCTGCTTTTTAAATCTGTAATATCTTCGAAAATATTCATTTAAATCACATGGTGTGAAGGGACGCATTGATCTATATTGAATGCACAATGCATTTGAGGTACTTAATTGGATAAAGAAAAATGCTGTACCTATTGCTTAAAATAACTTCGTAAATGAGCCATTATTTCTCGAGGATAAAAAAATGTTTATTGTGGGTCATCCCTAAAAGATAGACATACGCCGTAGCCGACCTTTTTGTAGACTTTTTCAAGGTGTACAATAGTGTCGAACATTTTTTGATCTATCACTTAGGGTTCAGCCAGCGTTTGCAATGTAAGCGCAAAAAATGTGTTTATTTACTCTATCTATTAAAAAAAAACCGCATTACAATCCGTTGTGTAGTTTCAAAGATTTAAGCAAACATAGGGGCAGACAGTGGGAAGCGACTTTGTTATATCCTATGTAGTGATTTTTCTATGTTACCAATAACGTTATCACAACACTTCGTTTAGAAATATGGCTTAGGACATTACCTACTCTACCTTCTACATTACTAGTGGACGTAATAAGTGAACCCTCTCACTTTAGTTGTCAGCAACATCTGTCTATTAACGACGGCGTTGCCAAAAAACTGAGATGACAATTGAACATTTCCAGTTTCTACTTAAAAAAGTCAATTTGAATTTTTCAAATACCAAATCTTGTGAATTGATTATTGCATTACTGAAAAGTTTATATATTTCTCTAATTAGCCTAGTTTTACTCTAATATGTGACTAGAAGGCAGGTCACAAAATACTTGAAACGTTGATTTTTGCACTTACTGAAAATCACTTTTGAATTCAGGGATTTTTGCGAAAAGGCAGTTGAAAGAAAAATCTTCTCACTGTTGCAGTACGATTTTATGAAATCAGTAACCTCATTCATTCTCATTAATGTGGAAAATGCTCGAGGAAATAACAAAACATATCAGAAATGATTCTAGATAT